CTTTTTTGATGAACAAATTTGAATTTAAAAGTATATTATGGAATTTAAGTAATTAAATATAAAATCAAGTATCAATAATTAACACTATTCAAAATTAAATTTTAAAATAATCTAATGATCTAATAATTTATTAAAGAGTTGGACCTTTATACGTGTCTACTATCATGAAAAATCGAACTCCATTGAAGTGAAATTTCATGATATAGTGTTTTTTGATCTAGTTATTTATCGAACCACTAGAGTGCGCTAGTCTTAGCTAAACCGATATACACAATATTGATATTTATACTGGCGATCAGTGGTCAGAGACTCTATCATCTTCCTTATGCACCTAAACAATACGTATTGATGTTATTCAACTATATGAAAAGATATTTTTTTTTTCTCCGTGGCTTCAAATAACATGTTAAAAGTGTCACAAAAGTCAAGAACTGTTGATGAAGATACTATATTATAATTGGATTGAATTGTAAAATAAAACTCATTATATAATTTGATGGAACAGTTTTAAGTTTAAGTCAAATCATGTGAGCAATCCTATATGAGAAAAAGAACTTTGTAGGCATACTTTCGATTTTGGTGTAGGTGTACAAAATTATTGCTACTGTTGTGGTGCATCTATTTTAAGTTGTGTTCACCAGGTGATAATTATTTTGGTTAATAATACAAATAACTATCGACCATGATTTATAAACTATTTAAATAGATAGCTATACATAAAAGAGCACTATAAGGGTACATTAAATTGATTTAATGTACCCTTTATTGTATATTTCGTCAAAGGATTGAAAACCTACATATTTGTTACACAAAAACGGAAGTCTTCAATTTAAATAATCCATGTTAAAGCATTTTTTTTTTATTACAATATCCTTCGAAGTTAACTCCATTTTGATCACAAGTTATAAAGTAAAAATAATTTATGAGGAACATTGTATTACGTTTCAAGATTTGTTATAAAATTTAATTATTTTATTGACATTTTACAAAAAAAAATAAAAATAAAAAAACATAAACATTTAAAATATCTATAGAAATTACAGAAAAAATCAAAATATTTTAAAAAGTATACAGTCTTTAGAAAATATATAATATTAATATTTGATGGGCATTTAAAATCTCTAGGATTATTAAATCGAAATCTATTAAGCATTTATATTAAATTTTATACCTCGTAAATTTTGGCATTTGTTTGTAATATTTCATTTTTTTTTCTTCGTTATTTAAAAATCATCTATTAGACTAGAGATAGTTTAAAATATATAAAATCGTTGATGATCAGAATAATCCTTCTGATAGAAAATATTTTTATAAAAACATCATATTATAACTGCAATTATTTGTTCCTCTCTTCGCTCTGTATCTAATAAAAGGGTTAAATGTTACACATAGTCATTAGTTATAGAACTAAAAAGATTATACGTACATACATATTACATTTGTTTAAAAAATTAAGAATGAGCTAATATATTTGTGTTATACATTTTTTGCTTGTTTAGAAAAAATTACAAAAATATTATATTTTACAATGTAAATAAAAATAAAAGCTACCATATGTCCGTACCTACGTGTATTATAAATATCAGTTAGAAACATAATTTTTAAACATTACAAACGCTATATATTGTTGATAACATTTCTGTATAAGATATCATAACTGTGTGTAACTGAAAATAACATGCCAAATTAATATAAGAATAAGCTATCATTAAGTATTATTTTTTAAATTCTTTAAATCACAAATATAGTTATTTGTGAATTTTAACTAATTACATAATATAAAACATTAAGAAAGAATTGAAATCGGATGACGTACAGTGAATGTTTTTCCTAACCTAACCTAACCCCGGCGCAACGTCACACGATAAGTTATAGCATAGTAATTAATAATTATACAAAAGTATTAACCTCGATACAAAATCTATGTTTCAAAAAGTTTTTCTAACATAAAACGCTTATAAACTAAATTATGATTAATAATGTTAAAGAACCTATTTAATTAATATGAAATCAAAATAATAAAACAGTGAACTATAGTTGACTTTGCATAGAATTAGCGATTCTTTAAAATTTAAAGGGTAAATGTCTAAATTGTAGCTCAACAAAAAAGAATCATGGCTGCAAAAGCGATTTATTTTTTTGTTTTACTCAAAATCTAAAAATCTAAATTATAACTACTTAATTGACAATACCCAACATTTTTAGACTTGACGCATTAATTATACATAATAGCTTATACATAATCAATGCTTGACGTAAAAGCTATTATACAATTAAAGTAGTCAAATGTATAAAGAAGTTGTGAGAAATTAAGATGATAAATAATCTAATATCTATATTTGTTTTATGCTTTTTATATTTTATATACAAAATTATATAATGAAATTAAATATTGTTTACATTTGAAAAACTATAAAATATAATGATGTAATTAAACAAAGTATCTATACATTAACGAGTATGTTGTTTATGATTTAATAGAAAAAAATTTACTAAAATAATATTTCGTTGTAGAATTATTTAATAAATATAATATTATAGACCATATGAAACGTGCACATATCGGTAAGTATAAAAATTATATTTAATGGTCATTATTATTTATAAGTGGTTATCTAATGGTTAAATGGTTTATAATGGTTAATTACCTCTAAGGTAAAATTATATATTTGAAAATATTAAATAATTTTTATGTTTGATAAATTCTACTAATTGAATCAAATTTATCACACTATAGTTATTATGTATGTGTTGTAATATGCTTTGCCAATTTCACGTATGTACATTATGTATCAATATCAACCGTATAATTTATTACAGTTCTAGGTTAACGTTTAAAAGTTCATCCTTTATTATAATCAATTTTTTTTCGTTTCTGTTACATATTTCTCTCAACAATACGTCTACATATTATCTATTTTATGACCATATTCCATACATAAATATTAAAGACCATAATACAACGATGGATTAATAACGTAAATTACATGAGATAATACTGTTACCAAAAAAATATATATATTTTTGTAATACACCTACTTATCGTAGTATAATCATACTGATAAACTCACATCAAAATCGTTTTATTATAAGCAATTGTTTTACGAATAATGCTATAATTTAGTATACTTATAGTATATAATACTATAATTACAATAAAAATAATTTATTTCTGCTGCGGTTATGCCGTTGAAAGATGATATAATTACATTAGTCTATTTGTGGCTGGATTTGCATTTGTTTTGTACTGTGCAACCAATAAGTATAATTACTACAAAAAAAACAAGCACAGAGGTACGGAACAGATACAGTCTAATTAATGCAGTGCCCGTGTATGTATAATATGTACATACATGAATACTATATATTATATATATTTAAACTAATATTATAGACACTGTATACACCTATACATAATATACCTATTTCTTATGGTAAAAATACGGATTCCGACCGTTTAGAAACCGCAATTGCTACGTAACTTGATTAGTGTTTTACCTATACACGTTTGTCAAGTTAATTTCAAGTATTCTCTCAACTTCGTATTTTTTTACCATCTCTAATAATGTCTAATTCTTCGGTAAACATTAATGAAATTATATCTACTAAATAAATATTATAAAATATATATATATATTATATTTATTATTATTATATATTATTATATTATTATATATATATATAAAATATACAATGACCATCAACAACGGAATAATATATCCAATTTAATTTGTTGATTTTACAGCAATATCTGCACATAGTTACTTACTACATAAGATACTTAGAATGAAATTATTATTTATATCCTTGATTATATGAATACAGTAATAAATATGAGGAATTCAATGTTTTTACGTATTATAGTTTTCATTTGCGTGACCTAACCTAACCTAAAAATAGCTACTACAATATAACATTTGCGCAGTACATAGTATCCAATCGGTCACTTAAAATATAAACTGCACACGTTTAAATCTAATCGTCGTGAACATTCCATGTTTAAAACTATACACAATTAAAAAGAAAACAATTTCCAAAACCTCCCCTATAAATACACGCCCATCAATACCGGTGCAATGATAATCATACAATAATTTAAAACGAAAGTAGCTAGCGAATAATTCGTCGGAGGAGCAAATATGTATTTTTGAACCGATTTGGCCGCGTTTAGCTTACCATACTTTATGTGGTGATGTAGTCGGGAAAATATCAGGAAAAAAAATGAGCACCATGAGTGAAGTATGGAATTTTTCGGATTTTAATACTAAAATATTAAAATTATTTTAATCTCTTAATCATCATTTTTTTTATCACTATTTCACTGTTTCATTATTATTGTGGACAGGGACGTATTTAGGTGAGCTAATATGGGTGTTAGAACACCCCCCAACGACCTTATTTTATGGTATTTCACCAAATTGTAAACATACTCTGACCATTTGAATAAACGTTGTATGCAACTTGTAGGTCGTACATATGCTGTCTTAATGTAATAATTTTCATTTATATAAATACATGGAATTTATTTATGTAATACGGGGGAGGCGGCAGAGGTTCTACTAACCATAAGTCAATTAAATTTTAAAACACCCTCGTTAAATGAATCCTGGATACGCCACTAATTGTGGAATTTATTGTGTACAATACTGTAGTGAATACTATTATATCTGTATTATTAATTAATTTTTTGTAATACATTACTTTTGTTAGTTGCATATTATGTTTAAATAAAATAAAATCTATAAATAAGGTTGTTGAAAAAAATTTAATACTTCCGTACGTTTTCGTTAATGAACGTAATGCACGGATATTTTCGAGGTGGTCTACCTTCGTGTTACCTAAACTCTCCGGTGGCGGTTAAGAGGGGTCCGCGACGACGTCTCACCTGGATCACGCGACGCGTACGGTTTACCGGCTCGGGGTTGGCCAACCTGTCGATCCGTTTGAACCGTCTGGCCGCCACCGCCGGCTTTCAAAACAACGTTCGGCCGACATATCGCGTGTACCGGCGGCGTGTCCGTGCCGGCGGTTCAGTTATCAGTCGGCCACCGACCGTTGTGGACGTGCGTCAATTGCCGTCATCCGTTTCTCGTGATCGTACGTGTCCGTGTGTCTCTGCCTGTGTATATGTATGTGGGTGTAAACGTGAGAAACTCGGTTAGCGTTGGTTACGTTCAAATGTTCGCGACGATGTCGTGCTCCGCCCGGCCGGTCATCGTCACCGCGTCCGCGGTCAGCTCTGGTGACCGTTAGTGACCGTCGGGACGTACCCTCGACATGCCGTTCGTGCAACGGGCCGTCGCGCCCGTCCACCTGAGCCGCGTGAAGCTGCACAACGACCAAGGTGCACCGACGGTGCGCGACCGCGAGCTCGACGCGGTCACCAACTTCGCGTTGAGCAACGCACTCCGGCAGATGGCCTCGGTGGCCGCGCTCGCCGACGAAGTGTTCCGCGAGCTCCGCAACCAGTTGACCGACGTGGCCACCCGGTCGGCCGGTCTCAAATGCCGTGTCCAGGCGCTCGGCCACTTGGTCGACCACGCCGATCCCAAAGCAGTCACAGTTCGTGAGTTATTTACTTTATCGTTAATATTATTGTTACTATTATTATTATTGTCGTACCTAGTTGTTATTTTTTGCACGAGCTTACCCGAACTCGACCGTTTCGTTTTACCTCAAGTTTCCGAACCCATTACCCGGTGAAGAGTTATTCGGTACTCACTACGCCTTGGTGGTGTATTGCTCCTATTATTAAACATTATACCGACCCCCAAACGCCTTTTCCGAATAGGTCGAGAGTATACCGCAAGATTCGTGATCTTATTTTACTCGCGATAATAAAACAAATTTATCTGCAAGGTTTTTCTTTTCTGATTTTTACCTCCATTTCGTAAAGTTAAACATAGTGCAATATTTAAACCGTTTTCGAACATATACTAATAGGTGAGGATGTATCTGCCTCTATGTACGTAAGTATCATGTTGACACTCGACTGTGTAAACACATTAGAGTGTTATTTCGTTGGTTTTATTTTTAACAATGCGTGTTTGTCTACATATTTATATATTGTATGCCGAACGGACAAGAAATTATAACTACGCACTAAGATTTTGGCGGGAATGATTCGTTTGAAGTGAGAATAATAACAGACATTCCGAGAATGAGATGTGACCCACAAATTTTGGTCCTACCCTTCAGAGGTTTTTTTTGTCAACGTGTGCCTATACACAGAAAACTCACTCCCATATGTTTCAAAATCTGGTCCCTATAAATGCATATAACAACAGATTACGGGGTTCACACGCTTTTGGCGTGAAACGACTAGGGGCTGTAATGTATTTATTATGTACCGCATAATTGCATTGTTTTTTATTATTATTTTATTGATTCCGTACAGTGATATTTATTTCTATCATTGTTTATTATTGGTTTCATTTTTTTTTTTTTATCAATGGCCACAAGTCACTACAGCTATATAGGTTTGCGTATAAAAACTACTAGGTACATGTTATATAAATAAATATTGGGAGGCAATATATTTATTACGCGGATTGATAATTATACGTATTATTGTACACTTGTATTTTATGAAACACTTTTCTACCAGCGATTCGCGATTCGCAGCTATTAATTATTATTTCGACCGTTAACTGTTTGATAACGGTGGGTTCTCGCTACTGTCGGCCAAATAGACGGATTATCTTTGTGCGTATGCATAGATATATGTTGTACCAATTAGTTACCTAATTAGTAACAATAGGAAAACTATTGTTATTTAACAAAATCTCAAACACATTTCGAACGCTCGACGAGGAAATGAGTGATTATGCAAATCGATGGGCTAAGAAAATATGTCCGAGAACAAGTTATCATCCCAGGTGCAATTGTTGTTGTTCGAGTACGCAATAGGCTAAATCGAATGTTTTCCCGTGGCTGCAAAACGCAAAAGTATATTATTGCTTGATAAAGAAAATAACTGTTAATAAACATATAAATAAGCGCACTTTTATGGACGTGAAAGCGAAGAGTCGACCCCGATCACAAGATGAAAACAAGCGGAAAGACATTTTGCGTTCCTTGAGGCGTTTCCAAACTATCGCAATAATTGAATAAATTATGATTCGCATCCATTGCCAGTGCCAGACGGAGCGCACAGAATAGTCCATTCGGAGAAAATGACCTATCGCAACATTAATCGATCGATTAATAATACTTCGCGGTTGTCCTATATATTTAGTATTTATATAATAATCATACGTATAATAATGACTAGTTGGTATTGCAACTGCCGTTTTATCCGTGCGACGAGTTATGTTACGATTGTACTTGAAACCGGTTTCGGGTCAACTGCAAAACGGACATTACGGACGAGCATATAGTTTCTTTTTTATTTTCCGTTTTGTTATAATAACGTACACGCGCACACAGCGTCCGTTTAGCTGTTGTGTAGCCCAAGTAAAATATGGCGTATTATATCTACCCATCGACAAGTATTCTGCGCTTACCAGTATTAAGCTCGCTGCGGTCCGATGACGGTTATATTTCTCTTTTTTTTTTTTTGCTCCTCTCTTTCACTCTTTACGATTATACTATTTCATTATTTTCGACTACAGGTTTATGCCAACCGACGGCGGCAGTGGCAACGGTGCAGCTGGTGTCGATTATTAAAAACAGCAGGGCTGTATTATATACATAAAACGGGGTGTTCACGGTTTCAAATGGAAAAAAAAAATAATAATAATAATAAAAAATAAAACCGGATCCGGCTCGGGGAGTAACGACGACGACGACGATGACGATACCCTTTGACTATATAACAACGAGCGCCCGCGGATAGGCTCTTAACGGACAAAACACACGCCGGACCGGATGGATGACCGTTTATATGCATATTATGTACACGTGAATTCGTGTTCACTTGAATCCGGCGTGGGATCCCCCTCCGTGCGATATGCGAATAATAATCTCATTATTGTTATTATTATTATTCTATTTTGAGCCGTCCTTCCGTGGTTTCGAACGCCAGAATAATTACAATATGGTTGTACGCGTTCACGAATTGCAGTAGGTCACGAGCGTATATTGTACGTTTACGCATTATTCGCGAGTTACATTCATATCATCGCGTACGTATACATGATGTGTACATACCTCCTACCCGTGATCTCTACGGTGAAGTCAAATAGAAATCTTTTAAGTGTACCGGGTACAGCACAATATTTAAACATAATGGATTTCTAATTATTATATTTTAAGTTTCCCGTCGAAATATCTTCGTTTCTTAGAAATACTCTTATTCAGTATATATTATTAATACTTTTTATATTATATTTTACTGATATGCTGTTGTACAATAACTACATTACAAATATTCATTGTTTTCTTTTAAAATTATTTGCACCAGAGATATTATTACCGGAGATATTTTGATGGAATTATTTTTACTGAAAATATTTTGACATGGAACCATATTTTATATACGGTTTACATTATGCCTCTGTTACATTGTGCTCAACTACGTAATACACCGTTGTAATTATTATTATTCAGTTACTAGTATTACGCTACAACGTAACCAATGTCGTCAACGCCTAGTTAGGTTTTTATATTTTTGTAAAACAATTTGTAGACTGTCTTCGGATAAATGTATTGCTTCAATGCTGAAACTAAAAATATTTCAGTATGACGTAATGGTAATGTGTTAACGAATTGAAAGGAAATAATATTTATTTATTTATTTATTTAACTACACATACACCCGTGTGAGTTCGACTACTCAAGTAAAATAATGATTTTCTCGAAGTTATTTAGTTATTTAATAACTCAAATCTTTCATATCTGTAACTATACGACACTATGAACACTGAACTATGTACACATGATTTTCTAACTATCCGTAACTTACAATTACTGCAAAAATTACAATATTGGTTACAGGAAAATAGTACTCACGAAAAATAACTGTACATTTTCTTTCTGTTAATCCGGTATATTTATGAATACATTTTAATTTTCAACCGTGCATAAGTGGGTGATAGAGGTGTTAATATTTTAAAAGTTACTATTAATGAAAAAAAAAATCAATAAACTGAGTAAATGTATATAAAATATAAAAACTATTGTATTTATAAATTGTCACAGAATAACTACTAATTTTGACGTTTTTATAATTTACGTTTATGAAATATAATTGATATTATATATTTTTCATTTTTAACATGCTGCGTGCATAAAATGAGTAACATAAAATTGTACGTGTAATATTATTCAGGAAAAATTTTCAGATTCAATTTAAATTGTGTATATAAATTTCTTTGGCGGGGTCACTGTCGTTCGAATACGCAACTAAACTTAAAAACAATATTCGATAGTGAAATAAGGCCATTAAAAACGAATGTAAATCCAGAGTCAAATAATTATCACATTGCGGTAGGAATGTAGTTAAGTAACATTGGGTTTTCGACTATAATCTTGATGGGATTGGGTACACATTACCGTCTTCGTCAGACGCCATTAGGGCGCGACACAATGCACTATTAGTATTTATTTTTTTATCGTTCATTAGCCCTCGGACACTCGTTATTCCCAGACCTATACTGTCGTCTCCAAGCTGCGTGTTTGTCTAAAAGCATGTATCTCATCATCAGTCTTGCATAACAGTGGTTTTCGTTAATACCACCTCGTGGTGAACGCATTTAATATAGACGCGCGTGACACTACTATTACTACTATTACGTAGACGATTGTTTCCGTCGAGTTATTTGTTAATCATGTAAAGTTGTGTTCGAATGAGTATGCGTATGTGTGTGCACGTGACCGACAACAGAAGCCGTACTCGCGATGCTGGGAAACCATAGGCGAACAGGGTGCGCGTTACAATATAAACGTCAACGCTCTCTGCTTGTCGAAATGATTGGGTTTCACAATTGAATTCCCAGTAAACTATTTTCGTTTTCATTTTTTAACTTGTAAACTGTATATATCTTTGCCACCCTCGAAAAATGAAATATACGTGGCGTTCGAAGAAACCTTTACAAGTAACTGTTATTAAAGTAGAAGGGATGAAATATATACGTGGTGTACAATGGTCAGGTTAGGTTGCCGTTAGGTTTTCCGAAAATTGGTAAGGATATAGAATTACTATATCGTGTAATGTGAATCGAAGGAAAAATTAGACGCGGTACCTTTAATCGTGTATACATTTGCTTAATGAAGTTCAAAACAGTCGTAGATAGATAAATAAAATAAAAAACATTTAAAAAGCGTTTTCATCGTTACATCTCACCTATAAGACTATTTTTTTGAAAACCATAGAACCGATATTGATTCGTACAGTTCAAACACCTTGAATCATAAATCCTCTATACTTATTGTGTACTTTAAAATTAAATGCACGTTTTCCACCTACAAATGATGTATATATATGTACATATCTACTATAGTAGATAAAATGTATTTATGAATACACATTATTGTGTAAAAGGGCACGAGCGTTTTAATAGTTTTTTTTTAAGGGGATTATAAAAACCGCCGTTAAGCACGTTCATCAACGATTATAAATGAAAA